GGCTCATACAACTCTTATCACAATCCATACATACATCAATTGTGTAAAGCGCATTTGTACATTCATTGCCCTCATTATTCTCAAAACATTTGCTCTCCACTTAAGCCCCCTGCCTGATGCACATCTTATGGCTGAGCATCCTCTGTTGTGCAGAACCAAGCTTTGTTCCAAGAGTGAATAATTCATCAGATTCTATTTAAACCATCAGGGAAACCATAACTTTACAGAACAATGTTAAGACTTTAGGGTTCGATTCAGGAGTTCTTAAGTCTCTGACATAGGTGGGCGACTTCTGGTCAAAAGCTGGGAGTATACACATATCAGAAAATCAAAGGTTGAAAACAAGCATGCAAAGATAATTAGCATTATAAAAGGAATTTGACATAATGTATATATATATAATGCAAGTATGTATCTTTACATTATAAAAGGAATTCAAATCTTGTAACTAAAACAAGCCAACCTCACTCTCATTGAGTCAATTCTGATTCATAGTGGCCCTACAGCACAGGGTAGAATTGCCCCTGTGAGTTTAAGATTGTAATTCTTTACTGGAGTAGAAAGCTTTCCCTTTCTCCCAGAGCGGCTGGTGGTTTTGAACTGTTGACCTCACAGTTAGCCGTTCAACTGGTAACCACACCACTACCAGGGCTCCTTAATCTTGCCAAGTAACTCTTTAAATAAACTCTCACTAGGACTTTATGGCGAATTCTACATCTCCACCCCGTTAACTCCCTCTGACAGAGAAAGTGGACATAGAGGCCAAGGAAGTCTCCATGAGAACTCTTCAGCAGAAGGAGGGCAAAGCCCCTTGGTCCAGGTGAATCCCAAGCCATGCCCTCAGGAGAGAATTCTAGAGAGACTGATTACGTGAAAAATATTTGGAGAACCTGGGGGTGTTGAAGCATGTAGTTCAGGGCTTCTTCAAAGTAGTCCAGGAATATGTTGTCAGATGTCTTGGGGAGATCTTCATATTCATAATAAGCTACAGCCAAGGTGGCAAAACCATGACCAGCCAGAAGGCTGGCTCTGTATTCCAGCAGGCCCCCTCCTACGCCCAGGATGTCAATGACTCCTGGGAAAGGTCCAAGTCCTAGAAGGGGCAATGGGATAGAGCAAAGGCATTACAGAACTTAACGAATTTGCTTTTCTGTCAGAGACCTTTCTAAATGAGCTACTGGTTTCCTGTGACTCAAAGGAAAGAGATTAAGATCCCTGACTGCTAAAGAACAAGCTCCCTGAGGAAAGGAAAGCACAATGCATCTTCCTACTAATGATCTGACATGCCAAATGCCTCCAGGATTCCGTTTCCAAGGTCCAAGAACTCTTTAGCTGTTGGAAGGGAAAGTAATAAACGTCTATGTTACGGAAGGAAGAATTTCATGCTACAGACAATGTTGGTTCCATGCTCTGAAATGATGCCCATCAGATGATGGGATATAGAATTAAAGAATCTAAAACACAGCTTTAGGTTGTTTTGCATCAGCCTTTTGGTTTGTTTGTTTTCTTGTGTACTGATATTTCAGACCCTTTGTGTGTGTGTGTGTGTGTGTGTGTGTGTGTGTCTGTGTGTGCTGATATTTCAGGTGCTTCCTGATGGAAACTGAAAGAAAAAGAGAAAGGAAAAATACAGAAAGATGCTTGTAGCTGAGAAGGCAGTAAGATCTGAAATGTGATCTGTGGTGCCAACCTAAATCTACTGCCATCCAGTGGATTCCCTCTCACAGCAAGTCTATAGGGCAGAGGACAGCTGCCCATAGGGTTTCCAAGGCGGTAATCTTTACAGGGCTGGACTGCCACATCATCCTCCCCAGGAGTGGCTGGCTGGTGCGTTTGAACTTTGGGTTAGCGGCTCAGCACTTAACTACTGTGTTACCACACCAGAAAAGCTAAACTCACTGCCATTGACTTGGTTCTGGCTCATAGTGACCCTTAGAGGTCAGAGTAGAACCGCCCCTGTGGGTTCTAGAACTGTAGCTCATTCTGGGCATAGAGCACCTCACCTTTCCTCCAAGGAGCTGCTCATGGGTTCAAACTGCTGACCTTGTAGCTAGCAGCCCACTATATATTCATTCTTCCACCAGGGGTCAAAGCTGTGTCAAAAGGCTCCTCTGTGGCGCAGAGGGAACAAAAAGAACAGGAGAGGGCCAGTGTCCCCGAGATAGCAGAAAAGGGACCCATGGCAGGACCTTCCAATGACGCTCGTTGTTTGGGTGAAGATTGGTAAGACTGTGAATTTAGGTTTGGGTTTTGTTCAGGCTGACACCTGTAGCAATCTATGGGATAGAGGTTAAAAAGCAAAGTGGGCAATGTGCCCACCAGCCCTAAGCCTAGTGCTTCACCTGCAGAGTAATGTGGAAGGTAAATGAGAGAATACAAGTCTAACGCATGGCACGGAACCTTTCGTATCAAAATCGTCCATGGTTGGGTGTACCATCACCGAGGAGACCTCCACTGAGGCAAACGACGCGATCCCCCAAGGCGCCCACGCCTAAGCTTGCTCCCACCCTCCCGCGCTCACCCGGCGGCAGGAAGAGCGTGGCGCGCACGCGGCCCGCGCGCACGGGCTCCCTCCGCACCCCGGGCCGCAGGAAGTGGCGCTCGTGCACCGCCCGGCCCAGGACCCGCCGCGGCTCGGGCTCGTGGCCCTCGAGCACCTCCAGCTCCACCGCGAAGGGCGTCTGCACGTCCCGCTTCAGGAACCTCCAGAAAGGCTTCTCGGGCTCCAGGGCCCAGATGAGGCCCATGGGCTCGAGCCCCGCGAAGCTGCCGCCCAGCGCGGGCGCGCGCTCCAGGTCCAGCTCGCCGCCGCCGTCCGCGCGGTAGCGCGCGTGGGCCCGGAAGAGCGTCCCCTTCTCGTCGCGCAGGGACGCGCGCAGCGTGACCGGCTGTTCGGGGGCCAGGCCGCGCACCGCGATGCGCACCGGCTCGTCCCAGCAGCAGTGGCCCGCGGGCTCCACGGTCACTGTCACCGCCATCCGCGCTGCGCGCTGCGCCGGGTTCCGCGTTCCGTCGGTCGCTGGCGGAGCGCGTCGAGGAGGCCCAGCGGGATCGGACGCTGAGCGGCTGGTGGCTGACTGGCCTTAGCAGGGCTCTGAGCGCCGACGACCCCGTTCCCGGCACCTTGAATTAAAAGGCACCAGGCTCCTCCCAGCCTGGAAGACGCTGGGTGGCGCCGGACCAGCCCCGGACCCTTCCCATGCCTGAACGCTGGTGGACGGCACAGAGCTGTTTGGCGCTGGGTTCGTTTGGCTTGGTTCTTGAGCAAAGGAAACCATGTCTGAACGACAGTATTTCAAAAACGCCGGCCCTTTCGTGGAAAAGGGGAACTTACTGTTGTCGAAATAGGTGAAAGTTAAAGGATTTTTACTGGGATTCCAGTTCATTCACCTACGGGTTTATTTCCAATAAGGCTTGTTTAGACGTTTGACTGTGATCCGTGGATAGCTGCCGGCAAGTTCTCACAGTCATGCAACTTGCCCTAGTCTCCATAACTTAAAAACAGAAAATAATCACAATTTATAAATTATCAAGGGTTCGTTAGGGAAGGGGGGCGGGGAGGGAGGGGAAAAAATAAGGAGCTGATACAAAGGGCTCAAACAGAAAGAAAATGTTTTACCTGGCAGGGGAGATGCCATGATCACGAAGGTGGTTTTCCCAGGGCGAGGCTTATCCATTGCACTTCGGATGTGCTGACCCCTGCGATTTCCCCAAATGTGGGAAACTCGACTGCATCATTTGTGGTAGTGGGGGACTGCGTTCGCACGCTCCCCTGTTTAAAAAAAAGTAGGGAAAAAAAGAGAATGATGATGGCAACAAATGTGCTTGACACAATGGATGGATGGATGGATTTGATCAGAGTTGTACAGCCCCCAATAAAATAATTTTGGAAAAAACAGTAGAACTGCTCCTGTGAGTTTCTGAGACTTGAGCTCTTTAGGACTCTTGTAGAAAGCCTTGTCTTTCTCCCGAGCAGCCGCTGCACGGCCCACCTGGCAGTTGGCAACCTAAAGGTTAGCAAGAGCTAAGCCGCCAGGGCTCCTTAGTGCCCAGATGGTGCCTTCAGGAGAGAAACCTGAACAAATTCCCGGCTTCCGAAGCCAGCTGGCAGGCCAATTCCATTCAAAGTAGAGAGGTTAGCCAGAAGGTAAAGGGAACAGTCTATGGGGTCCATTTCAAAGGGGTAATCCTGTTAGACTTTCTCAAAGGTCTTATGAGGCTGGTTGAAGAACATTTAAAACTCCATTGGTAAAGAAAGTTGCCCTAAGGAATTTTTTTTCCTATCACCACAGTGTACCTGCTCATTTTTTGAGAATAGCATCCACTCTAGAACCCCAATTTGGGCACTTCAGGCTTCTTTCCCTGCCCCCCCCCCCACCTCACCATTTAAAAGGACATGATCTGAGCCCCTCAAGAACGCCCAAACTGCCACTGTGCTGCAGTGTGGTCAATGGAAGGGCTCAGCAGTCTTTGGGAAAGGGGTAGAGAGATGGGCAATACTGCCTTCAGAAGGGTCTCGACCTAGAAGGAGGACATGCTGAGAAACAGTATCTTTACACGTTCGTGTTTTGCTTTATAAAAGTTTCTATGATTTGGTACCAATACCTTTTTACTTCCTCTTTTATAACCTAATGTTTGCCAGTCTAACACTGTTATGGATCAGATCGTGTCCCCCCAAATGTGTTGTTAATCCTAACCCCTATACTTGTAGATGCAATCTTATTTGGGAATAAGGTTTTATCTGTTAGCTCATGAGGTTGATCAGTGCCCAGAAACAAGGAAGGACAAAAGGGGGGGGGGGAACAGATGCGATGTGAAGATCTCCAAAGAAGGAGCAAAACAACACTAGGAGAAGCTGAGATAAGGATCCCCCCAACACACACACCAAGAGCTTTCTATAGCAAGCTTTTCTGAATTACAATTGCTAACTTCTTAATGACCACTGATGACCTGCTGAATTATGGGAGGGCATCAAGAACATGATATACGAAGAAAACAAAAGGTAATTAAAAAGACAACAAAATAAGAAAATCCAAAGTGGATATTAGAAGAGAATTTTAAACCTGCTTGTAGTTGAAGCAAATGGATGAAGTGATGTAAAAGAACTGAATAGAAAATTGCAAAAGGCATTTTGAGAAGACAAAGTACGGTGTTACGGGGAAATGTGCAAACACTTGGAGTTCAAAAGCCCAGAGGGAAGAACATGCTTGGGGTATCTCAAGCTGATAGAACTGAAGAAAAAAATTCAAGCCTCAAGCTGTAATATGAAGTATTCCATGGGAAAATATTGACTGATGTAAGAAGCATCAAAACAAGATGGAAGAAACACAGAATCACTGTATCAAAAATAATTGGTGACCGATGGCTATTTCAAGAGGTAGCCTATGATCAAGAACCAATGATATTGAAGGAAGACCCTCAACCTACATTGAAGGCATTATAAAAAAACAATCCTCCGGAAATTGGCAGAATACCATTGAAGTGTGTCAACAAGCTTATAAAGCACCAGAAGCACTCACTCTATGCCAAGAAATGTAGAATAGACAGCTGCTTGGTCTAGACGAGACGAGACCCTTATTTGTGTTCATCCCAAAGAAAAATGACCCAACAAGTGTGGGGATTATCAAACTATCATTAATATCAAATGCAAGTAAAATTTTGATGAAAATAATTTTAAGACTGTTAACAGCAGTACATCCACAGAGCACTGCCAGAAATTTATGCCCAATTCAGGAGAGGATGTGGCACCAAGGATATCATATGGACCTTGATTGAAAGCAAATAATACCAGAAGGATGCTTACTTGTGCTTATTGGTGATACAAAGACATTCAACTATATGGATCATAACGAACTATGTATAACATTGAGAAAAATAGGAACTCCAGAACATTTTGTATATTCATTCAGAACCTGTACCCAGACCAGGAGACACTGATTCAAACAGACACTATGTGGTTTAAAGTCAGGAAAGGTATGTGACAGGGTGATATCTTTTCCTTATACTTCCTCAATCTGTGTATTGAGCAAATAATCCAAGGAGGTAGACAATATAAAGAACAGGACATCAGGATTACGGGGAGATTTATTAACAGTCGGAGATATGCAGATGACATAGATTACATTGCTTACTGAAGTTGAAGAGGACACAAAGCATTTGCCGATGAAAATCAAAGACCGCAATCTTTAGTGTGAATTGCTACTCTTTGTAAAGAAAACAAAAATCCTGGGTGCACAAGCAAATGTGGTGAAGAAAGCTGATGGTGCCAAGCTGTCAAATTACACAGAATCTGGGGTCCCACATGATACAGCAAGTGCTGCATCAAATGATACAGCATCTGGGGTCTTAAAGGCTTGAAGACAAACAGGCGGCCATCTA